ACTGTCCAGATGGAGCTGATTATCTAATTTGCAGAAGAGATTAGCCACCAATTTCCCAGTTAAGCAAATGACAAGGAGAGAGCAAGAGACTACTAATATTCATAACAGTAAATGTCTTTTTTTGTTTTTACCCAACCACAGATTCAGCTCCAGTCTTCTATCTTAGGATAAGCTAAAGAAGAACTGGATGTAATCTGATTTATCTCAACCTAGTCTTGCATAAAGTAAATGCCTTGGCAAGGCCTGGCTCAGTGTGACTATAGCGACAGATGGAGCAGTAGATTTATCTTAGATTGATGATCCGGCAAAATGCTGAACGGCAAGGAAAAGCCAACTACAACGGTGTGAGAGAAAAAAAACGTAAGGCCAAATACAGATATCAATTACCCTGAAAACGTCAAAGATAGCGTTTTCTACAATCTGTGTCTCGTGTAACGTTAAGATGTTAAATCTTCAATAAAAAGAAAACGCCACACGAATAAATTTCCTTGTTTGTTACAAGGCCTCTTCGGTATTCGAGCTATAAAGAACCACGGGAAATGTAGTTTCAATTACAAATGACCGATCATACTGAACACCAGAGCGGGAGTGGAGCGCCTTAGCCGGGAAGGCAGATGTGATTAAGGAATTCGAAGTGGCGAGTCACCAAACGTATTTGCAATGTAGTTAGAGCGGCACAAAAAACAAAAGTAACTCCTCATACCACAGAGAAATCCTCAAAACAATATTTGTATGTCTCTTTTATGTCCCTAAAGGTCCTCACAGCCAAAGTGTTACTGCCACCTGATTCTGTGAAAGTATTTTCTAAATCTTAAAAAAAAAACAGCACGCATGTTAAACATGCAAAGGAACAAGTAAAGGCTTATTCCATGAAAAGAAAAGAGAGACAACGTTTTGAACGTGGAGCCTTCTTGAGGTGTGAGTATTAGTGTGTTTAAAATACTGTATACTTGTTTTTCATTAAAGAACAACAGAAAAATGGAAACTCGCATACGAAGATAAACCAGCTGAAGATCTGATGTTGTGACAGTTTTGTTTTGCTAGGAAAATGTTACCTAGCTGTAAAGTCTCAGAGTTTGATAAATTTGGAATCGATTTAAAAGTGAATTTAGCGTATTTCCCACCATTGGCCAGTTTACGTGTATTTGCTTATATGTTTTAGTGCTTTAGAATTATAATTCTTGACACGGATACCTCCCCCCTAGAAACTGACCAGGGCGTAACAAAGAAAGTCTTTTGCTGCTTATCACCCCAGAAAAAAAGAAAACAGGTGTCACATTTTTTTTGGCTAAATAGAAAATCACCCTGCTGTCACTTTAACAAAGAGGGCTTTTGATCAAATGACACAACTGATGGGCTACAGAAGAAATAGCTGCGTAATCACTCCATCTACTGGACAATCGTTAAAAAACACAATACATTTTAAATAATGTGTATCTTTACTACGGAAGCGCATTGCTGCCATCAAGGGAAAAAATCATGCGCATCATGTAATTACTTCAGTTCTTTCGAACCTAATTTAAAATATTTTATTTTTATAACAAAGTATAATCTCCACTCTTTTATTGTATGATTGAGAATCAAAAAGACTCAAGTTATCTTGTTTTTTTTTAATAATATTAATCCCGTGGACATTTTTTCACTATATTGCACTTACTATTTGCAGGACCTATGAATATAATGTTTTAAAAGTATTCGGTTTTCACGAAAATAACACGTTGTCTTGTTGGTGTCAAACACAATTAGTCCTGACATAAAAGATTTTGCTAAGAGAATGCATCCTAGCTGTAAAGTCTCGGTGTTTGATCAATTTGAAATCGATTTAAAAGAGAATGTAGCGTCTTTCTCACTATCGGCATATCGACGTGTATTTATTTGCTTATGCTCTAATGTTCTAGTGCTTTACAATTTAATTATTCACACGGATACTTCCCCACAGACATTGACCAGGGCGTACAAAGGAAATGTTTTGCTACTTATTTACCCCCAGAAAAAAATGAAAACATTTGTCACTTTTTCCGATCAGTAAAAAATCACCTTTCTGTGCCTTTAACAAATGCGGCTTTTGATAAAATGACAAAGCTACCGGCTATAAAAGGATACCTGCGTAATCGCTCAATTTACTGGACAATCGCTAGAAAAACACATTTTAAATAATGTGTATCTTTTCTACGGAAGCGCATTGTTGCCATCAAGGGAAAAAATCATGTGTATCCCGTAATTACTTTAGTTCTTTCGAATCTAATTTTCAGTACTTCAATTTTATTAATCTAATCTCCACTCTTTTATTTTTTTATTAAGACCCAAAAAGACCGTTAGTCACTTATATTGATTTTTATGAAATCAATCCTGTGTACATTTTTTAAATATATTGTTCTTACTATTAGCAGGATCTATAAATATCAAATTATAAAAGTCTGTGTCTATAAAAGAGTGACAGCAGGGCTCCCGATATTTGCAATACTGAAATAAAGACCTTACTCAGGTGAGAACTCTCTCTCTCTCATGCCTTCCTTGATGTCCATGACAATTCACTGTTTATTTCATTAGACGTTAACACCAATGATCTGCACACCCTTTAATTATTTTCCTTACATTTGCTGGTTTTACAAGAACGTCTTATGTTGAAAAGATAGACAACAGCAAGCGTATGTTGTGCGAAGTGTGCAATTGCAAAAATAATAATCGGAATTTTACTTATATAACTAAGTTATATTATTTATCGATCCTCTCTCTGTCGTCTTTAACCATCTTAACATAAAATTAAAGGATACTATATTAGTTATAGTGTAGAATAATATTTTGAATAATTTGTAAAAAACTAAATGTTTTATTTTGATTATGTGCACTTTACACAGTATCGTTATCACCAGACGCTCGATGCTCTTATTGCTGCAAAGGTTTTATTTTGTACTTGACTGCAGAAGTTTTATTAACAATTTAATTGTTTGTTAATGATAATATAACGATTTACTATTAGTTCAGTAGGAAATTGTGGTTAGTTCATGTCATATTAAGCGTGCATGTGCATAATAGAGATCATGCCATTTTTCACAAATAAAATGTGTTCGTGCGCTGGTATCTCTGATCTATACTGTTTAAAAACTGTTTTTTATGAGGAAAAGAAAAGAGAGTTATTTCCTTTTAAAATGCATAGGAGCATACTTGCAAGTTCATCCAATATCACGGGAAGTCTAAAACGACTCTTACGCGAGATACAATGTGACGTGTCGATATTGTGAATTTCTACATATTGTTACTGCGTTACTTTAATAATCGGCTTTAGCAAGTTGGCTTTTATTTTCATTAATTCTTTGAAAAACAACTCCAATCCATTTAGGAGATCATGAAGGTCTAACAGTTTTGCGAATACAAAATGAAAACTAAACTTTCGTGATTTCCCAAAGAAGTGGTTTTTAGCTCAGAGTTTTCTGTCTTGTGTTGTAGCTGCGTTCCCAAAGCACAGATTAATTGATTTCAATGATCTTTTTGAGCTACTTGTCACGAAATGGTGACTCCTGAATGCAGGAACATTTTAGCTCCTGTAACCCAGTACGGCACATAGCAATTCTAAGGGTGCTAGGACCCCTTTTCTCCTGCAACAGTTTTTTTTTTGTCTCCCAGGCGCATCTGTGCACCACAGACCAGACAAAACAGTCATTTTACATAATCTCCCTTTTTACTACGGTCTGTTAATCTGCTCATCGGACAAACGTGTCCCCATAACTGCACAGCTGCGCGGCCGCGCACCCTTTTCAAACTGTAATAATACTCTTTATAAATGTTTCTCTTAATCATAGCGGTTTATTTGTTATTATTATTATTATTATTATTATTATTATTATTATTATTATTATTATCGAAGATGGTACTAGGTTTACAATAAAACGAAACACTGTTATGGAAAAGGACATGTTGGTACATCAGTGAGTAGCACAAGATTATCTGAGAGTTTTTACAATCCGAACCCGGCAAGGCAGTGGCGCAAAAAGAGCGAAGGCGTCGTGCATCACAAATTATTATTCCTAGAAGTGTGGAGTTGAGTCACTCTTCATGAGAAAGGTGATAGCTGGTTGTCTTCAGCAGAATCAGCATAAAGGGAGGCAAACCGCACCCGTCTTAGGCTCGGTAAATTCAATAGAGTGACCACCCGATCTTGCTCCGAGCTGCAGTCATCGGGGTGAGAGGAGAAGTGTTTCGCAGAGTTTGCTTTTGTGTCTACAAAACACAAACATTCAAACTGACGAAACGCGTGTTCATCATCTCTCAACTGTGTAATGTTCTTGTTTTAATCTGCCTTGATCCGTGTGAATTTTACATTTTACACTACCGCTGGTGTCTCTAGATACACAACATTATTTCTGTAGAGTTTATCTTTAATATTGCTCCTACGAATTTGCTTTCAGTTGGTACTATATCAGTATGTTTGAACTGTACAGAGATAGAGTATTCCTCTTCTGGATTTTTAGTTTGGTTTTGCGCAATGGGGCTGACCTCCCTAGCTTCCAACTTCCGTTTGGAAGAGCCGCGCCAGAGCATTTTGGTTTGAACCCTGGGCAGGTGGTGGTGCGCTTCTCGCGGTGAGAGACTACATTTCCAAGGAGAAACGAGGCGTTGGAATATGAACGCAATGGAGAGTTGTTCCCCAAAATGTCACTGGAAACAGGTGGGCTCGAGAGAAATAAAGAAGAAAGTTCGAAAAAAGAAAATTTCCGGCTGCAATGAAGCGTCGGGCTTACGGGTCGCTCTCTCTGCTAAAGCGAAGAGGACAAAACAACGTGCAGCGGTCGAACCAGCTAGGACTGTGTCATTGAAAACCACTTTGGATACTTCTGATTCTTTTAGTCTCTTACAAAAAGTTCAGTCCAAACATGCGTTTACGGAGAGTAGTTGTACAGAGCCGGATGAATCCTATTTTAACTGGATGTGTCCCATAGAATCATCGCCGGTTAAAGATGAAGTTGAAATTGCAGATCATACTGTTGACAATCTCGCTTCAGACACGGAGCCTGGAATCTTAAACCCTGTAAACCTCGAATCAGAAAACAACGAAGCAGGGGGAGCATCTGGTATTGATCCATCCGACAAAGGTATAGCATCCGCTAATCCAGATCATTCTGTTTCGAAATGCTCACAAAGAAGTTGACCATGTTGTACTTCATAATCATTGTTCAGGTTTGAATTCTTTAATTCCTGTACCTCTAATGGTTATCAGATCAATTAAGAAAATTCCAAATTTATCAGTAAGGCTTAGCCAAGCAATAATATGTATCGTTACTGAATTAGTCGGTGAAACGAGTTCAGAGTATACAGAATTTAAGGTTTTAAGAAGAATAGTGAAAAATGTCCTGCTTTTTTTGTACAAATGTCTCAGTATTAATTTCCATGAGCGGTATTTGTGCTTTTCTGTGAAAATACGTGAACAGTAAGTTTAGTGGCTGCTGTAAAACAGACTCCTCCATTTCATTGACTACTCCACCAGATTGCTTACTGTTTTCATGGTGTGGCAGGTGATCTGTGGAATACACCCACATCACAGAACAGAGGTAGCACTCAGAGTGGGTCAGTGGTCAGCAAGAATCTGAAAAAGAGACCTGCATGCAGACTGAATAACACGGTACGTTCCAGGATGCATACTGTTGTCCAAAGCTACTTCAAATTGCCAGTTTCGTGTCCCACTGCTTCACGTTTGCATATTTTACGTTTTGTTAAGTGTTACTTCAACTGGCCACGTTCACCCAAGTTCAGGTGAGCTGCAGCATCACTTTTTGCATCCTCAGATTAACTGAGTCAAATAATTAACAGAAACCACAACGAGGAAAGCTAATTGATGCCAGTACTGTTTATTACTGGGAATCTGAAATGCTGACAGTGGACCACATTAATGATCCTATGCCCTTGTCATCTCTGATAAAATTGAAAATATTAAAAATGCCATACTTTGTGGGGGTCATTAATGATAATTTCCTTCTTGGAGCTAGTATAGTTAGTAAACTAGTTACATTTTCCTAAACTGTAAGAAACGTGTGCATGAAACAGCCACAGGCTGTGCACTTTCTTTTATTGTGTACAGATCAACCTTTAAATGAGGATGTGTGATCAATCTGTCCATATTCAAACTGCTTTTCCTAATACAGGATCGCAGGGGAACTGAAGCCTATCTTTGCAAACAATGGGTGCAACCAGTATACACTCTGGATGGGATGCCAGTCTGTCGCAGGGCACACAAACACACACACACACACACACACACCAGGGCCAATTTCCCCTAGAAGCCAGTTAGCCTACCAGTATGTCTCTGGACTGTTGAAGGAACCCATTCAAACAGAGGGAGAACTTACAAACCCTTACCACCCCTCATCCCTAACTGAGCTCAGGGTCCCAGTGCTGCAAGACACTGCGCTGCACAGGACTGTGTGCTACAAATACAGAAATGTTGAAATGGTAAATAAAGTGAAGGGGATACTAATGTTAGAAAAACAACGTGAGTATACAACCACTACTTCATTTCCAGTGGGGACAAATGTAATTGATGCTGCTTTTCTTTTAAATTGAGGAAAATCTGTTGATCACTCTGGGAGTTGTGATGGTTGTGGGCCGCAAAAGAGATGTCAAATATAGAAATTCTGTTGTGGTTCATCACTTTTAGGTGTCTCTGTGTATATATATATAAAAACTTACTTAAAGAGTGCTTCACCTGTTTTGTGCTTGTTTTTTAAACATGTTCATTGAAATGATTGTGCAAATGTGGTTTGACCTACAGAGTGTGCAGCAGAAGACCAGGTTTGCCTTCTCAAAAGCACAGAACCGCCTGCTTAAGGAGTACATGGGAGCCCATTGGGAAGACTTGTATGGGCCAAAGAGAAAAGTAGCTTCTGAACGACAGTCTCTGTGGCATGCCTTGACTGCTCAAATTAATGGCTTGGATGGAGACAACAAAAAGACCCTGAAACAGGTCCAAACACGGTGGTTCAACATGCGCCGTGATATGGTCAGAAAAGCAAAAGCTCTGAAGCAGGTGGTGGATAATGGCTGGTTGACCAAGTTACCACATAGTGAGATCAGGATTTTAAATGCATGCCATGGCAGACTGGATGGAATTGAGGATGGAAAGAAGAATTTGCAGGATTCCTATAGCAGCTGTGAAAGTAAGTGCAAGTCAAACGGTGTTTCGAGGAATAAGGTTTTGCCCAAAGTTAAACGCTAGTTTAATCTTAGGATGCTGGACAGGCCTGGTGTCTAGAATTATGACTAGCACGGCTGCAAGAGGAGACCACAGTGACTTTGAAGGAGGGCTGATGGTTTAGAAACATTTGGCAGTGACCAAGACAGCTCGACATTTCAAGAGCAGCAATGTCGAAGGTGATGTCAACCTGGAAATCTGAGGGAAAGACATTATTAGTCGAGGGCAGAAGCACACACTCCAGATTGAAAGTGCAAGGCAAAAGGTGTCAGCGAGGTCCATCGACGGCAAATTTCAACCTGGGGCGAGAGCTGTCAGGGTCCTCAAAAATGGTCCTCGGAGAACTCCACAGAGCTGGATAGTCTAAAGCAAAATACAATAGTCTGGTTGCAGTGCACAAACCTCTTGTGACACCTGGTAGTGCTCGTTTGTGAGTCCCATTGAGTAAACAGCAAAGGCAGCAGACTACTGTGCAGAAGGGGAGAGTGATACAGTCAGATTAATTATCCTTCACCACGAGTGCTTTATTGCAGCTGAGGGCTTCTGGTCTTTCTATAATGTTGTGGGTGCCTCATTTTCACCATTTCCTGACATGGTGTGGGTGCACTCATTCACTTAAAAGGCCAGATCAATGCTATTCATTAATGAATAGTACTGAGTGATCATCTCCCCCCCCATGTTGCAGATCTTTCCTGTCAGGAGGGGTGTCTTCCAGGATGACACTGCCCCCTCCCCTCCACAGAGCACCTGTAGTCACCTGGTGGTTTGATGAATACGACACTAGTTTTATCCATATGTCATGCCCTACTTGGTGACCTGATCTGAACCCATACGTGAGCTATTCTGAAATGATGTATTTTTCACTTGAATTAACCAAGGGTGAGTTTATTGACTTTCTGTTGGAAGAGTGATTCTGGATCCCTCATGCAGAACTCCAAACACTGGCAGAGTCTATCACTGTCACATGTTGTGGCCCAATACCCTTTTCAGTTATTTTACATTGCAGTTTCCATTTTTTCATCCACTTCCTGTAGGTTATTGTTCTTGAGAATAAATAGTCGGAGTTGATTGTGCAGAAAGCTGTCTTTGTACTCAGCAAAGATTTCAAGGAGAAGGGGTAAAGTCAATTTAGTGTGTTAGAACTATTGTGGGTTTACCACTGGCTGCTGTTTGAGTTTTTGGGCTTTCTTCTTTTCTGGTGACGAATGCAGCAGTTATGTCTCTTATCTCATTCTAGCGTTCCTTAAATCTGCCCCCACACAGCCTGCCTGTGCAAGCTCTGTACAAAGGGAGCCACGGAGTCAGCAGTCAACAGCAGCAGTTAGCTGTATTTCTAAGCCCCACGGGACTTTGGAGGTGCAATTTTACAGCCAGGATCCAGCGGAGATACAGGATGATCTCTCCATTCTCCAGGCCACAGAGCCCTCTGCCTTCACTGCCACAAATCACGTAGTAAGTGGGTTTCTTTTGGTGCTGGTTTACATTATTTTGTAGAATATTCAGAGTCGTCTTGAATATCCTATATGCTATAATACAGCGGATACCTGATATAAGACACGTTTAGAGACCAGAGAGTCGCGATTTAATGCACAGCGATGTATATAGTGGAATTTTACCCCATACGAAAAACAGACATAGTAGGATAGGGACAGTAAGAGAGTAATTTTTACCTACAGTATGTGACTACAGTAGGAGGCTTTTTCCACAGAATCATTGAATTAGAACAAGGTTAGGGATTGTAAGTGTGTGCAGGACATTATGGCACATGTAAAATTAAAACAATTTTTATTCTGCTCTGTCACTCACTTTTATCTCTACTTGATCATTTTGACATAAAAATATCAGTTAGTGAATCTTAAATGAACACTCATTGACATGGTCTTACCTTAAGATGTGATCGAGTTGTGCCTGATTGTTAATGCTGCAGCTCTTCACCTTGTGTTCAGCACCTGAGCTATCACCTGCACTACGCTTTGAAATCATGCAAAATGAAATCATGATAAAAGACATTGGCACATACGTTCATCACCAGCTACACAAAACCTGAGATACTTGACTCTTTCTGTACAAAAGTCAGTAAAAACATAACAGTGTTATACTGGCAAATAAATGGTATTGTCTAGGACTAATTACAAGGAAGAGCCACTATTGTTTCGTGTCTAGTATATCAGCACTGCATCTTACGTTAAGATCTTTGAGCATGCTTATATTGAACTTTGAAATCCCAATATTTTGAGTTTTTGATCATCTGGGTGGATTGGACAGTGGATTCTTCTTCCTTAGTTGCTGTTAGTAGTTAAAATGATTATAATTACTATATTGGTGAAATATTTGTATGGGATAATAAGATGCTTTAGTTTAAGATAAGATTTATTTATGCATTTGAGATTGTCTATTGTTTACATAACAAGGTGTTAGATGCACCTTGTATACAGTATGTTGGCATACCTTGAAGTTTCAAGGGGACAAAATGGTGCTGCTAGTTTCCAGGAACAGGTGAAAGATTCTAGCTCAGAGAATCATC